AAACTTGCATCTAGCATAAAGTTGAACTTTTTGTTTTAAAAAAAAGTCTGAACAGATGGGAAGTAGTTTGAAGGAATTAGAGGAAATGCTGATGGAGTGTCATGTGAAAAACCGGACAACAATGAAGTTCCTATATAATACGAAAAGATTACATTGTAACATAAAAATGCATATTTACAAAGGAAAGATTATTCAAACTGAAGTTTTAGGAATACCTCAGTAATATTTTGTGGTATTGCTTTATTAAGATGTCGCATCTATCAAAGAGCTAGCTTTTCTGCACCAGTGAAATGGGTTTTTAATCAGTTGGCTGTTATTTAAATGTTCACTGTGGGTGATCTATAAATAATGTTAATATACAGAGTTTATATAATAATTGACAGTCATCACTGTGATGTAATTAAACTCTGAAACTTGCTATATAATCAACATAGAAGCCTAGCTGCAAATTAGTTTTCTTGATTTACTTAGATTCTGCTGAAAGCACTTTTGTCCAAATGTCATATATTCTGTAAGTACATTTGTACTTCTCAAATTGATTTCAAACCTTTTACTGTTTTCCTCAATTTTTATCAGATGAAGCAACTTCAAAATTGTGAAATTTGTAAAATGATTTTTAGACGACTTTTCTTACATATATAATTTGGTTTGGTTGATGTATCCTTCTGAGAAAGTACTCAATCACTTATTTTTGCAAGAAGTAGGTAAAAGATACTTAGATTAACTGATGCTTCATTTAGTTTGGATTTTATATTGACATAAAATCACATAATTAATTTGCCATTTAAAACTGCCCTCAGCCTCTGCAATCATAGAATAATAATTTAGAAATGACTGTTTGGCTGTCTGTGACTTATCATAATTAACTGTCTTCTCAACATAAAACATAAAACGGAGCATACTCAACTATTTTATATTTTAATGTGTTGCATAATATTATCTGACCCAGAAATAGTAGGAAGTGTATCTCATATTTCATTATGAGATAAGTTTTTCCGTCGATCTCTAGTTTGATTTCGTCTTAGGGAGAGATTTTTCTTTAAATGAGTTCCTATGTTTGGCTCTGCTCTTACAGCTTAGTGCTGAAAACATAGAAAGTGGTCTTTTTAGGAATTTACTGATGGATTTAAAATGTCATGATCCTGTTTTGTTTTGTAACATGACCGAAGCTGAAAAAATAGTGGCAAAAGACCCAGCAATACAAACCAATTTCTTGTTATCCAGTAAGGCGTATCTTCTTCTGGATGTCATTAAACTAGAAGAAAGTTTTGACTTTGCTATAATCCCGCTGTTCCTTTTTAAATGTAGTTTCCAAACGCTTAACATTTTTTCACTGAAATATCGCCATAAGCTGACATGATATCATGTGCTCTTCTTTTATCTTCTGAAGCTTGAATTTTATGATTTAAAATGTACTTTAGTCACTTAAGGAAGAGTGATATTTTATGCTATTTTCTATTGGAAAACAGCTTTGCAGAAATTATTTATTGGAATGTAGGAGAGTTCTTTTGAAATAATTTGAATGGTTACTGTAAAGGTAAAGTATTCTGTCCATTACTGGAAAATAACTTTATGTATATCTCCTGTGACTTAAATAAATCATTGGCGACATTTGTTGCGATGTGAATGTGGCATTAAGATTCTTACAGCATTCAACTTCAAGTAGCAATCCAGCAATGGTATAGACTAAGGATATTATTATATACTATGCTGAGAAAAGCACATCTGTAAAACTGTTGTGTCTTGGTTATTAGTGCTGGGATTTGAACTATCTTTAATCTCATTTGACTTGTTCATCTTCCTTAAGGATCTCCATAAAGATGCACTGAGTATTCTTTTCAGTCCTTAGTTAGGGTTTGCATCAGTGGTCGTAAACCTGCTTAGCGGACAAAGACTCTTTTCCCTTTGAAGTCACTTCCCCAGCTTTTCAAAAGGTCTGCAAGCCTGTTCCCCTAAAACAATTTAGAAAAGTTTGAAGTGGTGCCCCTTAAACCAGCAACAAAATAAAATTTTCTCTTTGCATTATTGAAAACCATGACAATCTTCTGAAGCAGTAACAGTTTAAAAGCTTTTAAAGAAATCTGTTCTGCTCTACGACCAGCTTTTAAGTTGACCCCATTATTTGGAAAATCAGAGGCTTGGAAACCCCTAAATACTTGACATTCTTATCAAAGGAGTCAGCCTGACTTTTCACAGGACTCCTCTTTTACAGTATTTATTCAAGTCCTAATTTCTTTAAAGGTACTATTCAGATTTCTTCTATTTCTTTTCTGCATTAAAGTGTTTCTTTAGAACAAATCTAATTTAGTAAACAGTTGGTATAATTTATGAAACACTGATCCTGCTACCTGTAGATTTATACTCTATTATGTTTGAAGTCAAGTCCAAATTCTACAAAGACTGTGAGCATTGCTTACATAATTTTACTTTTCTGTGGACTGTGATAAATATATATGCTCAGTTTCTACTTCTTGTTTTAAGAATCTTATCTCCTACATTTTATGTATATAGTTCCTGACAGCCTAACTTACGTAAAGCCTAGAGTAATGTAGTTGCTGTAAGCAATAAGTTTACTATAAGGATTTTGTTTATCTGCACCTCCTAATAATTCATTCAGACATTGCTTCTTCTAAGTCCTTCTGACTCCAACATCTTATATTCATTACCTCCACTACAACGTTGTACATTTAAAACTTCACTGATTTCAAAAGTTTCACTAACACGTGTAGTATATAATTAGATTAATTCCTTGCTGATCTATACAAGTATGTGTTAAATGCAATTTCTAAAAGCAAAAGAAAGCAAAATAAAACAATAAAACCAGAATTCTAGAATTTTGCTAACGTAGGCAGCTCATTTAAAAGAAAACAAACTAACAAGAGCTTTAAATGCACAAAGCTGCCTCCTTTTCTATGGCTTGGGGACAACGGGGAGAAAGAATTGGGTCAACAAAATTAAATTGTTACTGGATAATAAGACACGGTTGCTGTTACATTTTCCCCTAAAACTGCAAATTTGTGGCTTGTCTACGCAATGTTCATTTATGAATCTTCTAAGGTGCCTGCCCCATGTTTAGGTGAGGGAAGTTCAATAGAGCAAATTTTCTCTAAAAGGTTTGTGAGCGTTCATAGGATCAGCCACCAGAGAAGTACCTAGACGTCATTAAGTCTACCCTTATGCTTCTAATTTGTTGGGAGTTTTTCCTTTGCTTCTGAACTGTCTGCCATACTTCCTGGGTTTGAGTGTGTTTTGCCAAACATTATATGAAACAAAAGCAATAGCTTTTAATGATTATTTATTAGAGATTAGGGACAATTCAGCAAGTTGCTCCAAAGCATTTTCAGATTTAAAATGCTGATAACGTGTGTGTGTGTTTATATGCACAGGGATATATTTAGCGTATATGTATATATCTAAGAAGAAACAGATTTATTTACTTTTCAAGATTTTGTATTGTGGATATAAATTATAGATTATAACAGTCACTGCAGAATAAATCAAATTTTGAAAGGTCAAAATCCTTGATTTGATACTTTGTCATAGATTATGACCTATTCTAAAAAGCCATTTGAATGTGGCAGCTACATGGATGCTCTGGGAGGTGTTGCATATGGTCTGAGTAAAAATATAAAATATTGAGAGTAAGCTAAGCTTTTATTTATGCAAGCCCAGATCTACACTTCCTTTCCACGGAAGTCTCTCGCTGTACACGTGAGGTCTGGGTAGCTACCTGTTTTAATATATTTGCATAATTTCTAATAAGACCCAGTACCAGTATTGCTAGTACTGTTAAGGCTCTACATGGACAAACTAATGGCATTATGCTGGTTTTATCTTTTGAAAAGTTACAACCCCAAATATATATTTGAATGTTGCTACCTTAGTAACCAATGGAGACAGTTGGCCCTATTATTACCCTGTCTCTTTGCAAGACCATCTCCTGTTTTGGAAGTAAAAAAAGTCTGATTTTACCACTGCTTTACTGCCCTGTTGGTATCTCACATATCATGTACTGTGAAGTGAAATTATCCCTGCTGCTTAAAAACTTGTCTAATCCTTTTTGGAACTACATGGTAACATTGCCCAAGATACATTCTTTAGAGTTTAAATGCTTCGTAAAATGCTATGAATGAACTAATTCTATGGTAATACAAAAACAACATTGTGATTTCCGTGAAATGCTAGCACTCTTCAAAAGGGTGATCCAGTGAATGACCTGTGAGTGAAGTTATAAAACTATTTAAGGAGCTTTATTTGCTTACCCTTTCTGTGTCTTGACCTGGAGAATAAATTTTTTTTTCCTTTCAATGTGCCAGTTGTACAATTTCTTTTTCTTTATGGTATCCATATATGTTTGATTACAGAGAGAATCTCAGAAAAATACAGTTTTACTTGTTCTTGTTGCAGGGAAATGTCTAATAGGAGCAGTGGTAATTAATGTTGGATTGCGTGTTTTGATTTTGCAAACTCACCTGAAATTCATACTGATTATGTTCCAAGCTCCACATTCTTACAAGGAACTAGATATCAGGCTGAGGTTTCAATGCTGTTACTAGATTAAAATAAAATCAGTCAGTGGACGTTTTACTTCATCTTTGAGCACTGTAGGCATCTCCTCTCAGTATCTGTCATAGTGACACTTGTGTTTACTTATTCCTGTTATAGGAAAAGGTAGTAATTGACTATCTCTTCCTCCACAAAAAAAAAAATAGAGGGGGAAAATGCAAATCTGTGTGCTCCGACTTCTGTTTGTTTTTACTACACACCTGACTTATATGAATGTGCATTAGTAAATGTGCAGGCGGAATTCCTATAGTATACTGCTGCTGAACTATGTAGATATGAGTACAGAACAACCATATGCAAACAGTAGATAGAAGTGATTTGTAGGGAACGTGAACTCAAAGAGCAAGGAAACTGAAGACGCTTCAGTGATTGAAAGCAGAGATTTTAGAAATAGATTGTAACAAAGGATTGCTTTTATTGTTTTTTCATTGAAGGTGATTTTGCAACTCCTCGAGCTATTTTGACAGGACATGACTATGAGATCACCTGTGCTACCATTTGTGCTGAACTTGGCCTGGTAATAAGTGGTTCAAAAGGTAAGGTAGATCCTAATGCAAAAAGGAATATAGTCTCAGGTGGCAGAATTTATTAACTTTATGGTGGTTTTATTTCTAACCTTTTTTTAGTTGCTGTGGAATTTGAAACCTCTTTTTAAACATGTTAAAACTGAGGATTATTCAGACATTTACAAGAAGAAGCAACCACATCAGTTTCCCTATTATAGCCTACTGATAGCTATTTCTTTTTGTTTGTTTACCCAGTGTAATTGCATCTAGCATACTGTTGGATGCAGCTCTTGACTGCCAGGATGGTGAAGAATGTTTGTTATGGATAACTTCTCAGAAAGGGAAGCAAAAATTAGTTTCAGGAGAAAGAGAATGTGCTGTCTTTGTTTGATGAAGGGTATATATAAACTACCAGCTAAAATTTGTAGTAATTCTGTTCAGGCTCTTTGAGCTTAGCTACAAAGCCTGTAATATGCCCAATTTGTGTTCTCAAAGACCTGCTTTTGGCAGGCAAATTGTAAAGAATGATGTTGATTCCATGGATATTTTTTATCATTTTCCTATTTGCTGGTCCACACTTATTTTTAAACTGGAAATTTCTTAGAATTAGGATCTTTCTGCTTTAGTGTTTCCAAAATAAGAGACACTTTTTCAAAGTTGGGTGTACTCACCACATGCACGTGTGTGTTTCTGTTTTATGCATGTGAACACTTGTGGCTTACACGCAAATCAGATATTTGTCCAAATATATTAAAAACCAGATATTTAGTGGATGATGTATGGGTTAAAATCTTAATGTGAGAATACACATTTTTGGAGTACCTATGTATGTAAAATCATTACACTTCTGTGTTTCTTCGTATTTTGAAAATCTCATTTTAGGATTCAGTACGTTTATTTTTGTGCTCTCAAAATTAACTACTACCAGTTTTAAAAGAAAATCCACAAAAGAAAATCTGTTAGGTCTCTAACTAATTTTGATAGGTGCTCTAAAATACCTTAATACAAAGCTCTTAAGGGATAAGCGGTTCATTGTACTCTCAGGCACCCTTAAAGTCATAGGCTATCCACTTAAACATGGCAAAAATCATTATAATGTATTATAATAGTGATTACCTAAGTAGAAGTCATTACTTATTATTTGATATATGATGTCTTTAAATGAGCATGTAAATCAATAACTAAAGATTTCATTCTGTTTCATTAGAAGGACCATGTCTCATACATTCTATGAATGGAGATCTACTGAGGACATTAGAAGGTCCTGAAACATTAGAAGGTCCTGAAAACTGCCTGAGACCAAAACTTATTCAAGCTTCAAGAGAAGGCCACTGTGTCATATATTATGAAAACGGCCTCTTCTGTGTGTTCAGTGTGAATGGGAGACTTCAAGCCACCATGGAAACAGATGACAAGATAAAGGTGAGTGTACTCAAATGTGGTGCTAAGGACTGTTGGTTCCGGGTATCAGGAAAAGCTATCAATGTTGGAGTTGTGTGGAGACTCTTTCTATAGCCAGGCCATAGAAATGTATGGTACTAGACTATAATAGCAGCATTCCGAAAAAATTGTAGTTAAGGGGACCATGTACTCCATAGTACCATAGTACTGTTTTTAATTTTAAAATAATTCTGTTCATATAGTAAGGAATATCCTGTAAGCACTTCCTTGAACTGAAGAATATAAATATTACTAATTGCTGACCAGGAGAAGCTGGGCTACTTATTTACTTTCGAGTCTGAAGGCAGGAGGTCATTGGACATGCTGTTTTGGATGTTGGCTTTCCCTTTTTTGGCATCTCTGTCTACATTCCTTCATCTTAGCTTGAGATAGCATGTGTTATGCTGAGCTTCAGGAAGTTTATAGGCATATGTCTATATTTCAATTCTTTAGCCCTTTGGCATTTGGTGAGCAGGCAGCTAGGTTCCACACCTTTAGCTGCAAGAGACGTGGAGCAAGTCCAAAACTATGCAGGAGGCATTTTAAGCTTATGGTTTTATGGAATTTATTTGATAATACAAAATGAAGGTCTTTTGACCATTCCTATGAAATGGTACCTATGAAGCAGAGCAGAACCTGCCAGCTATACTGCAGTGAAGCCAAATGTCAAAAGAATACTTTCCTTGAATTAAAAATATTCCCACTTTTTCCTTGAATGAGAAAGAAAGGAAAGGGAAGGGAAAAAAATAAACAAGCATTACCAATTCTAGTAGAAAGTTACAGAATGCAGCAGAGACAAGAAGCAAGATCACATTGCTGGGTCAGCATTCAGGCTACTTGAATTATCTGAAGTTATGGTCTCTATGCCAGTAGTCATGGTCTGAAGGGCACAGAATCACAGAATGGTTGAGCTTGGAAGGGACCTCCGAAGATCATCTGGTCCCGCCCCCCTGCTCAAGCAGGGCCATCTAGAGCCAGTTGCCCAGGACCATGTCCAGACGGCTTTTGAATGTCTCCAAGGATGGAAATTCTACAGCCTCTCTGGGCAACCTTTGCCAGTGCTCGGTCATCCTCACAGTAAAGAAGCGTTTCCTATATAAAACTATTTAACATCAGCAAGAGGAGACTTTTTTTGTTGTAAGCGTATGGCAGTACTATACCTCCAAGCTGACTTTCATAATCTGATGGAAGAGCCCAGCTGCTGGGATTTCCAATGTTCTCTTGAGTTGAAAACTCAGAAGTTTTTCCTTTATTTGGGTTAGATGCTTCAGGAAGAAAATACCTCTTCGCCCTCATATTTGTTTTACAGAATTACTGAAATTCTTTCAGATGTTGTGCGAAATTGTGAGCATTTTTAAATTTGCACCTGTTCTTCTCTTGACTCTATTCATATTAATTCTTAAGATGGAAGAACATGTCAATATATTTGAAAGAATTTTGATCTTCGTTATTTCCATTTTATGACTTACATTGAACAGTGAATGATCCATCACCACTGAAGTCTCCAGTGTAGTTCAGTGTATTCCATTTAAAACCTTCTAAAACTCTGTCGTGTACTATACTCTGATAGTCCAGCATCCCTATGTTTTCAAAATGTCAGATACATTGGTGGTAGAATATGCAGAAATAACTCTCTGTCTAGGTCTCTTTTCCGCAGTGAGAGTGCTGTCTGTAGGGGTGAAAGGGCATTCGAACGTTGGATGCTATGGCAGCCACAAGTGTGGATTTGAGGCTCGGGAAATGAAGTAGGAATGTGTATATTTCTGTCCCAAGCCATTTTTCCAAATTAATGTAGGTTCTTGCTTCAATTTTTAATCTTTCTTCAATTCTCTGAAACTGCACCTTTGGCTGTCCTTGTACAAATGCTTTTGAGATTTTCAGCCTACCTTTCATCCCAGTTCTTTCCATAAAGCAAGTACATATCACAGTGTTCTCCCTTTTTACAATAATAATGTTGATAATCTGTCACTTTCAGTTGTGATTATGTTGTCAGCTAGGCCAGCAAATCTGTAAAATATCTAGAAATCCCTTGCCGGCTAAAACAATTTCTGTAGTGTTTCAGTCAGTACCCACAGCTTTAGGAATGTTGCTAGAGGCAATGGAAGTTCCGCTCTCTGTGGGCCAGAATTACATATGTACAGGGGTTTGGGTTTTATTTTGTTTTGTTTTGTTTTCTTTCTCTCCCAGTGGTCCCAGTTGGGCTTTACGCTTAAACAATCTACAGCGTCTTTCCCAGTGCTTCTGCACTATATCATGTTAGAAGGCAAGTGGCAACTGCATGATTAAAGTAGGGGCATTTAAAATGAATAGTACCTACCCATGGGCTGTGCTGACAAACACTTTTTGTTGGTTTTTGCTCGAGGAGGATAGAAAAGGGAAGGAAAAGGTCGTAAGTGTTGAATCTGTAATGTAAAATTCTAGTTTATATTTTCCTATGCCATTATGGATCTGTACTTCAGAATGTTATTGACAAAACTAGCGGTTTTCAATAGTGATGTTTGGAACAACATTCTGATTTTCTTTCTTATATTCTTGTGCTAGAAAACTGCTAGAAGAATTTCAGATGCTCTGGGGAAATTCAAAGTCTAATCAATGCCTTCCACCTGTTTCTGTTTTAAATACTGTATTGCTCAGTGGAGCTTAGGCATATCGCAGTACATCTACCAAGTAATGTTTAGATATCTTAATGAATAACTTAACTCTAAATAGTCTGCTTGTTCTGAGAAGTAAAGTTATTTTACCCTAAACAAAGACTGTATGCTGTTTCACCCAGAGGAACCAATTTATTTTCCTTTCCTGAGTCTGTTTTGAAATGTGGAAGTGCCCACAAGACTCCTGCTGCTGTAAGCCAGGGCTGTCACAGTGTCAGCTCTGCCTTTTTACAAAGCACTGCCTTTCAAAAATCTGAGATGTTAAAAGGGATTTGTGCAAAGTTTTGAGACTTTCCAAGGAAATACAAGTCAGAAATGCACCTTTTAGAACATTGCTGAAATTGTGCGCTTTGGGGATTATTTGAGAATCTGAAGCTTATGTTGTGAGAAAGATTAGTTGCAGAGTTGTTTCAGTTTCATACTAGCAGAATTGTAGATAAACTACGCTGGGGAAAAGCAGAACAGTAAAATTGATTCATGTCATTTTCTATACCAGTTGGAGTACTTGGGAGTAAAAGCATCCTTTCGTTTGTTAAATCTTGAAGGGCATGTCATGAAACTGAAATGTTGACAGGGTGACCTTTTTCTTCCATTCATTCCTTCATTCAAAAATATATATATCTATATATCTATATATATATATCTATATATCTATATAGGCAAGTGGCTAAGAAATTTATTAGTAAACAATAAAAATAAAGAAATCAACATCTTGTCTTCATGACAAGCCAATGACTTAGTAAAATTGTATAGGTATTAGTGAGGGTTCAAAGCCTATACTTCATTTAATCAAAAGATCACAAACCCCACTGCATTTTGGAGGTAGTGGAAGAGTTAAAGATTAATGGCTTTAATTTGCCTTTTAATATAGCATTTCTTCAGTAAAAGCCTCAAGTATAAAATTCAAGTGAACCATGACCATAAGGTTAATGGATTTTCATCAGCTGAATTTTATAAGTGTAGCAAATAATTATTTGTCATGGTCTTCATTGCAATTTGAAAATACCCTTAGGAGACTGCCATTGCAATAGAGAAGAAAACCACCCTATATTGATTTTTGCTTCTAATGAATAATCTTTTTAATAATTGTGTGTGGTATATTAGATCTCATGATCATCTACTCAGTGCATGCAAGTTCTAGATAATTTTCACAGTCTTATCTCAGTTTGTTTTCTACCCCTTTCTTACTGAGTTACTATACTTTTCTAAGAGGGTCTCTAAATGAGTTTTCAAGCTCCTTGGGGCTGTGCTTTGGGAGGTGCTTAGCATATTTTTGTAGGCTGGTAGAAACCATCACAGAAGCAATTTATGGTTGGAACATTGGAACATTTGTTTTTTGGGGGGAGAAGCTTCAGCTCGGAATACTCAACTCTAACCTTGGTTAGTATTCAATTTTCCATACTTAGATATGGTTGGAAAAAAACTCCACATATTCTGCTTTATTGTGTCTAAATTTACATGTACGTGTTATCATCTTAATTCAAAACACAGCTGGAATAGGTTTATCATCTATTTTTTTCAGTGTTACAATATTTTCTTTACAGTATATGTTTGTATTTCAATTACATTCATTTTAAAGTTATTGTGTGAAATAAAATTTCAGCAATGTGATTCATTGTGATTACTTGGGAGTTGTTGCAGTAAATACTCAAAATTTATAATATATAGAAACTATCTTAATGTGTTGCACATCATACAATTCTTAAAGGATATATTTGGCATCATAGTAATAGAGGACAGCAATACAAAAAATACAGATGTGCAATATGTCTGACTTCAATTATTGCTGTTCATGAAGCAGTATCTTACGTACACTGTATATTTTTGTTTCTAGGCTTGTCAGCAGTCTGTATGTTTATGTTGTTGCATGAATGTAACATTTTTGTGTTTCAGTTTCTCTCATTTTTGTGGTGCATGCACTGTAAATTCTGTATATTAAAAATCCCAATAAATTCCTTTTCCTGAGGAATTTAAATCACATTATGTTACAAGTTTTGCATGTTGAAAAACTGTAGAAGCAGAGATTGCAAGTGCCAAAATACTTGCAGACTTCAGCAGAGAGAGAGATGCTTGCAAGATCCTGTCTTCAGTTCTTTCTACTGTTTCCTAAATTTAAATCTTTGAGCTGGAATTTTCCGTGTAGACTATCATCTTGAGGCAATTTCCTTGCCATCCAGTGACAATGTTTCGGTTATAATGGATCAATCTATTTGTAGAACGTGTGTGTTTGGAATTTAAACATTGCTCTGAATATCCCCCATTCTTACATTGTTCTGTTGAAAAGTTTTGTGGCTCCCTGTCTTGGGTCAGGAAGCTGAAATTTATCACAAATCAGTCCTGGTGTGAAGGACATGTATTTTGTTGAAAAGCTGCCCAAATTTAGCTGATTCACAAATCTCAGGTTAAATGCATCCAGTAGATCATGCTTAGCATCTACATTCTGTAGTGAACATCTGTAGCCCAGGGACGCAGTTTTCCCCTGCAACCAATCATCCCCTACAGTGAGGTGCACAAAAATGCCATGGCAAGAAATGTGGTGAGCTGATCCTGGACAAGGAAGGGGAAGGACTGATGGGAAAGCAGAGGAGAAAGAGCAGAATCAAGGACAGAACCAAGGACAGAATGAAAGAGATGTTTGCAAGAGCGACAGGAACAGGGACAGATGGGAATGTAGAAACTTGTCAGAGACTGGGAGAAGATAAGAAAAGACAGAAAGGAGTAAAGAAAGAATAGGAATTGGAAGTAAGGGCAATGGAGTGAAGGATTAGGTAGGATCAGGAGTTTAATACTAGATAATAGTCCTTATAGTAGCAAAGTTCCTTATTTTCCTTTTGATAACAGCAAATCATCCAGCAAACAACTGGCATAGTTGTTTCTCAACTGTTCTGTGTGCTCAAATGAAAAGGATGATAGGCTGCTGCTGTGCCGAGTATTGTGTATAAAAGTAAAAGTAGAGAGCAGAGAAGGGACTGTGCCGAGTATTGTGTACAAAAGTAAAAGTAGAGAGCAGAGAAGGGAAAAAACAGAAGTCAAGCTGAGGAGCAAAAGTCAGAAAAAGAACTGAGAAGAGGCATCTGGAAACAGGAGGAGAGAGTATAGGAAAAGGTTTGGACTTACAGGAGTTATTAATAATGGTCCAAACTGGAGTTTTAAGGGTCTTGATCTCCTTGTTGGTAGCTTGTGCTGATGTCATTCCACATGACAGAATTAATTAAACTTTTCAGTTTTGTTCTTTTTTTTAGAAAACCATACACACCCTTCAGTTTTCCCAGATAGTTGGAGGATGAGGCTATAAAATCAGGGCCTAGTATTGTCTACTGCTTAAGTCCTGCACGGCAGCAGGACAAGGTCTTCCTTTCAGAAGGAGTTTTGTACTCTTCAAGGTTACTGTAGTAGTAATTGCTAAGACCCGTATTGGAAAGGTGTGTAAGATCTTGGTATTGCTGCAAGAAAAGTCAGTAATGGGGTCTTCCAGAGGTTGGTGTTGGGAACTAGTTTTATTCAATGTTTTTTGAGGTGGGGAATGCTGAAGGTCTACAGAGTGATGAAAGCAATGCATGAGGTGAATGCAGAACTGTAACTCAGGAAACCCTGCAATATGAGACCTATGGGGTACTCATTGAAACTAGTAGGATCACTTCAAAACAGGTGAAACTATTTTGCACTGTAATAAACCTCTGCCAATTGCCCCCCCCCCGCAGAAGGCATCATCAGACTCAAAAAGAGATTAAGAAAATTCATGGGCGGCACATCCATAAATAGATACTAAAGGGAATGGACAGAGATTTACTTTGTGGTGATTGTGAATGCTGGGGAGCAGAGGGGAAGGGACTGTAGAGCGGCCAGTCTCACAGCATCTCCTGCTGCCACTGTTGGTGATACAACACTGGGCTAGATAGATCATGGTCTGTCTGACCCCATAGGGTATCACTTATTTTAATAAAATTTCAATTTCAGTTCACTTTTTGGCTTATTTAAACTGTCAAAATCCCTCTTTAAGAAATATTTCCCATGCTTCCAGTCATCTTAATATCTGATTGTATCAGCTGGTATAGTCATCAGGTAACTGAGGAAAGTTACTGTTCTTCCAGGTACTCAGTATATATCATGATTTTTCCAACAGCACACAAGAAACATCAAAATAGATTGGACTCCTGTTTCAATAAGTCATCACTGTGAAAACCAATGGTATCCAATCTTTCTCCATGATCTGGATCCCAAATAAAGATTTCAAATGTAGATTTGCCATCATTCCCTATGATCCATGCAAAATCAGGGTATAAGCCATTGAATTTGTCACAGGCAGTTTCAGGATAGATGATGAAAGGAAGCACAGTCTCTATTAAGAAAGGTGAATCACTATCTTATTAATCCAGAGCAGGAATCCAAAAACACTGGTCTAAATTAATTCTAGTAATTTGTATAACATTTCTGTTCCCTCCATCATTCAGCCCTTTGCCAGAGAGAAAAGGAGGGTAACTTCTTCTAGACTAGTATTAAAGACCCTTGGGGGAATGTCAGGTTCTATATTTTAATGCCAGTGCTGCTGGATCTTGTAAATCTAGCTAATTAGAAGTGTAAATTTCTTTAGCTGACCTCATATTAGATCTTTGGAATATGGAATAAATCACAGGTGAGGTAAAACTGAACTAGTGACATATAATGTATTAGATACTTGTGCATAATAACATTAATTCTATTGCTGGGTAAAATAACATAACGATAATGTTGCTTCCCAAAAGCTTGTATTAATATCAAGTCTCCCTAGACATTCAGCTGTCAATATGAAACTTTTTATGAAAGTAAAAGAGAGGGAATAAGAGCAATACATATTTATCTGACAAATATCCATGTGATTTCCCCTTAGGCAATTCAACTGAGTCGAGACGGACAGTATCTGCTTACAGGTGGAGACAATGGAATTGTCATGGTGTGGCAGATGTGGGACCTCAAGCAGCTTTTTGCTTACCCAGGGTGTGATGCTGGAATCCGATCCATGGCCCTGTCGTATGACCAAAGGTTAGAGCAAAGTCTGGTCTTCACAAGAATTTCAGCAAATATAAACTTACAATTAAAATGTATTTTTGTTTTTCTTCTGATTTTGATTTTGTGTGGATCACAGATTCTGATGATTATATTGAGAATTCTGTGCTTGCATAAGTTTCTTTCTAACATGTCATATTTAGGGCAGATAACTTTTTTCAGGATTTCAGCTCTTGGGGGAATGAAGAGCGATTCAAGAAATTGTACTTTGGCAGACCTTCAAGATAGGTTGAGTTATTATCCTTTGCCAATGTACAGTGTGGGTCACATGGAGGTGGAAGGTTACATATGTGCTTTTTATGTTTCTTCTTTCACTTACAACACAAATCATATTCCTAATTCCAGACCTTTATGTTAAAAATAGAACAGTTAGAATAGTTGCACAATAAGATGCCCTCCACACATCCATATTTTGCTAAAGAGAATATTAATTTTCATTTCTAGAAAAGTTACTTTATCCACATAAAGTGTGACTCTCCTTGAAGATTCCTTCTACTGAAGGCAATCAGTTAATATTTTTACTGCATTTTTAAATTACATTTTCCAATGCAGCTGTACTTAAAAGTCCTTCTGTGTTTTTATCACAAAAGTATTGTTTGTTTATAAGATGGATGTTTATAATTTCGTTTGTACACTTTTAGCTTGCAGACTAGAATTTTGTTTGCTTTGGTGTATTTGCTTAGTGGAGTTCCTGTGTACTTTTCAAGCAGATTTGGCTTCTAAATCCCTTAGGAGTGTCTACATTGTGCAGTAAAGCATATTGCTGAGACTCTTAACCTTCCACTTACTGAAGTCCATACTGAATGTTTTAACATTTTTACCTGGACTACATTTCTAAAACTTACATAAAATGAATTTAAAAAAATCCAAGCCACCAAAATCTGTGGACTTCAAGCAAACATTCAACTTCTACTCATTAAGCATAATTAGAGATTGTAGGCATTTTGGAAGAAACAGTTTTCCATTAAAAAGCCCCCACTGTTAAAAATATTTCCAAAACTGGAGTTATAGCTGTTGAATTTTAGACCTCCAAAATGTATAAAATTTTGCATTTAGAGAATCTTTAAACTGTAATTAATGGCATGTCAACATAATCTTCGCATGTCAATAAAGTGAAATTTAATATGGACATCTATAAATTTATCCATGTGCTCAAGTTAGGAACCTATTCACTTTGCGTTTGAAGACGCAGAAACTCAGAAGAGATTTACTCAGAGTATTTTACTGAGTAATTACTCAGTAATTACAGGTAATTACTCAGAGTAATTTATTTGGTATGCATGAATGTATGTGTTTGAGTGACAGTGTGTAAAAAGACGTTTTAACCTAAGAGAAAAACAATCAAAATGGTGCTCTTGAAATGAAATAGTGTGATACTATCAAAGTGCAATGTTTTGATGATCTCCTATTTAGTCTTTGTTGTGACGGAAGAATTACAGCTTTTTACTCTGAATATTTTTTTTTAATTCTGAGGCTTCTTTCCTAAAATGCCAGAATTTTTTACATCTTCATACTTTTGATTTTCATAAAGCTTTAATATGAGACAGTAGGCAAGACAATATACAAACTCTTGTAATTGTGTGCTGTGTCAGGGTCATGGCTTTTCAAACAGATCTAAATGATCTCTAGTAGTAGGCCAAGGGTAAGGAATTTAGAAAGAAAGAGTGCCTCAGTGGGAAAGCACGGTGATTGCTTTCAGGAACTTCCAAAACAATCAAAGCCTTCAGATTGCTTTCAAACCCAAACACTAACATTTCCAGCTGAAGTCCTGTGCCCACATCCAATTCCTTCATGTAGATCATGTGCTTAAATGGGGGAGGCGAAACTGAAATGAACACTTCTCCTAGCCTTCCTTCACTTTGCTGCTTCACCAGGGCTTCATCCCACTCCAATACCCCCACAAAAACCAGCCAAGCAAGCCAAGAAATAATCCCAGGAAATCTGAAGTGGCCTTGCAGGACAGTGATGCTGGTAAACAATTCCGTTGTCTAACTCTCAACTGTAGCTTCAGGCCGCCCATACAAACCGTTGCATGGTGTTTTGTATGTTTTGTGATCCATAAATCTGTTGGAGCTGATGCAGATGGCAGTTTTATTCAAATCCAGCTTGCTGGGATTGATGGGAGCCCCTAAAGCCTGACTTTTCTGGCAGGTGGAGCACTTCCAGCTCCAGCTGTCTTCAGTGGAAGTTGGTTGTTGCCTCGGGTTCTCGTGCCTACATTGATGTAACTCTTCGGTGTGTTGACTCATGTATCTGAACGTGCGATGGTTCACTAATGAATATGGTCTTGTGCTTTCCTTAGGTGTATAATGACTGGCATGGCATCTGGCAGCATAGTGGTTTTCTACAATGATTTCAATCGTTGGCACCATGAGTATCAGACCAGATACTGATCTTCATAGAGACGAAGATTAGCACTGATGTGGGCAGCTGTTGTCAGAAGGAAACTGGACACAGCACACCTCCCTTGGTGTCTTGCCACAACATTGTTCCTTATAAATAGCTATATTACATCTGAATGTAACTTAAATTTGCTGGAAGAAGCAACCTATTTTTTAAAGTTAATTGCTATTTTTGTAGACCTTGCTTGACTTTTTTGGGGGAAGGGCAAAAAAGCAGAAAAATGGCTGCTGGGTTCTGTAGTTAAAAATCTATATTTTTAGTCATAATGAGAAGTCTATTTTGATCCCTGTATGTAAAAGAAACCTAAAGTAAAAATGGTTAAAACTCACATTCTAGCTATATTATGAAGAAATGGATTTTCCATCTGAAGCTTTATCTATAACCTTGAGGAATATATGATTTTAACATAATGGAAATGAATTACGATGCTTGGGGAATTTTAATCTGTGCTATCTGTACCACTCTTTGTCTCATACTTTTCCAAATGATTGTACTACATCAGCACTGAAGTTTCTGGGAATCAATAGTAATATTTAAATTATGGTTAATGTAATTTTAAACTTTGCAAATTGTTTCCATCAATGTTATTATTCAAGCATGTTTCTAGGCCTAGACAATTAGTTCTTTTTTAGTTGTATGTTTTGTGCAGCTAAGAGAGAGAAATCAGGAATGGAGTTTGTGTTACAAGAAGTGTGAATCCTTCTAGTTTCTACCTGGCATCTCCTTCAAAGCACACCAAAATGTGGATTGTTCCTCAAAATCAGAAAGGCTATTTTGAAGACTTTAAACTCAAATTAGAAACCCACACGGGCAGGTATTTTTTAATAGGTGCAAGTACCAAAGCACACTTCTGCTGGTTGACTGTGAAAGCACTAAAAAGGCAGGTGTTTGCTGGTGCACAACCTCCATACAGCAGCAGAAGCACTAGACTTGCAGGCGACACTCTTTTTTTCCGCAGAACTAGCCCCTGCAATACTGTAGCACATGCCATGTTCCTTTTCTGCGTGTAGCAACAATATCTTTTATATTTTGCTATCACCAAATCCAGTCAGATCCTGCCCAGTCGTATTAAATTATCTCTTTCTTTTAGGAAATGAAAAATAATTTATACTAAGGAACAATAAGTTATTTTGGTGTTGCATAAATCTACTTTTCTACAAGATTGCTGTGCAGAACTCTGTGAAAATATTTGTGAAAAGAACTGTTACTGTTTTGTAAGTCTGTATTGCATAAAAATCTTCTTTGTATGTTGTGATCTATATGAGTTGAAATTTACATTCCACATCTGTATTGATACATATATTTCTCTAGCTGCCTACTAGAGCAGTTCCTGTTTTTTCTAAGCATTTAACTACTATCTCTTTCAGTAAAGATTTGGAATGAGAAAATTCAGTTTGAGTGAAGAAATTAAATAAAATTACATTTGTAATTGAGAGCTTCAGTGGAGTACTGGGTTCTTGTGATTCAATGCATATTCACAATAGAGGAAATAGGTGCTATTGCTAATGCATTTAAAGTACTCTTGGTGTTTATGCAATGGTGACTAAGTTTTCTGTGCTTTCTACATTTTTATACTGATACGGTTATGCTGATATCGGTAGAGTTGCATTTTTATGTTTTGTGTAGCAGAAGGATGATCTGATTAAGCCAACGCTATTGTTGTCACGTCTGTGGTAAGTGCCCAGTATATTAGGAAGTAACGTTTGTTATGCAAAACTTGTACTTCACACTTCCTTAAATTCAACAACATTCATAGCCTTGTATCAGAAGATTTTGAGGGGAAATTGGTATGCTTTTGAAGTGCGATTTGCATTTTTCTCAAGCCAGGGGTGGGTTTCCTAGGCTAGGTGGGAGGGAGAAAAAACCCAATCAAACAAAGGTGTATTTTGCCAAATGGAAATCCTGAAAGTCTTCTCTTTATGATCTCCTGCTGACTTAGGAAACACTTTGTTATTGATAGAAGTAATAGTTTCTGATCTTAGAGCCAAAATATTTCATGGGGAGTTGATTTGGTAGATTGCTTGCTTTCGAAAGAGCCCTATTGATCACCAGATGCTTTCCCAAACCGAAAGCATGACTGTATCTCCGCGTGCCATCCTGAGTTGCATCCAGCCAGTGCATGCTGATGGGCAGCTGTGCCGTGGTATCAAGCACTCCTTGGGGAAGCAGCACAGTGTTTTGCACATTACAAGTGCTGCAGCCCTTCTGTGGAAAAGGCATCTTCATCTTCTGCTCTGTGAGCAAGCCTGTGAAGACACCCCCATTCTGGACTGCTTTGCTGGTGGCTTTGGTGAGTAGGACATACCCCTCCTTCCACGGGTATACAAACGTGCCTCGGGCACTGCCCTGGGGGGGCTATACTTGCACCTGGGGTCTCGGCTTTGGCTGGACTAGTCCATGTCATGCTGTTTGTCACAAGGTGACAAAAAAGGGTTAAATTTCCAACTATTCAGGTATTTGTTAGTCTATTCAGGGCAGCACCTGTGTCAAATGGATTGTCTGAAACCTGTTTAATCAACAGGTGCCAGGCATTAACCTGCAGCTGGGCTTCAGCTAGCTGTTATTTGCAGAATATTCTGGAAAAGAGGGAGCCGAGTCCTCTATTTCCTCAAAATTCAGAGGGAGCATTTATGAACAACGTTTTTTTACGTGACAGTCCGGGCTTTCTTCTGTTCTGGTAAGTTCAAATGGACGTGGTGTTAGCTGTGGTTTATGGCAGGTGCTGTGGAAAGCAGCGTTTGCTGCTGCTGAGAGCAAGGCTGGTCAGCAGCAGTGCTGCAAGTTTGGTTTGTGGGGAAATACTTAGTGCAAGTAAGTATTCTCTCCAGGAGAATGCTGTGGGAAACGGTGTGCTTAAAATCCCTTCTACTTTGTGAAAATTGCTGATATAAATGCTGTAGAATCTGGCAAGAGATGATGGTGTGATCAGAGTGGTGGTTTCTCTGAAGGAAGTTCATGTTGTGGTGTTACTGCAGGCAAAGGTAAATGAATGCCATAATACTTTTGAGAATATTTCTTCAGTTCTTGGCCGTGTTGTGCTGTGTGTTACCAAAAGCCTCTACACCTGGAAAGCATGCCTCATGCAAAGTATATGTATTTATTACTGTTTCTGGTCCTGATGTACTCTTGGTAGTCCTCCACCTATCTGCAGCACTTTTTTTCTGCTAAAGATTCCCGCTCTGATGGTTTAGCACTTAGCAGAATAAATGTCTGAAAGAGCTAATCTGATACCTAGATAATACAGAGTTATCTGTATCATTTAGGTTGGAAGAGACCCTTAAGATTTGTAGATACTTGTAGATGGTACAGTGGTAGCTGTTTTCTACAGCTACTGTTGGAAGTTGGCATGATTTTGGTGTTCTCATTGTAATTTTAAAAACATGCAAATCGAATTTCTGTTTAGAAACCGTTTGGAGAACCTTTTCTGCTGTGGTGCTTTTCATGTGTGGGATCAGACTGGGGATTTTTAAGGAACAGTGGAGTTTCTTCAGTTCTTGTAGATGGTACAGTGGTAGCTGTTTTCTACAGCTACTGTTGGAAGTTGGCATGATTTTGGTGTTCTCATTGTAATTTTAAAAACATGCAAATCGAATTTCTGTTTAGAAACCGTTTGGAGAACCTTTTCTGCTGTGGTGCTTTTCATGTGTGGGATCAGACTGGGGATTTTTAAGGAACAGTGGAGTTTCTTCAGTTATTCCACATACCTGAACAGCAGCAACAAAAACCTGGCCCACGTTTTTCATACAGAGCTGGTGTCCTGGAACAAAAAATTGTTTTCATTTCTTTTAGTAGCAAAAGGAAATTCAAAAGTGGGACTTCTGTGGGAAATGAATTTTATTGCAACTTTAGTCAGGACATAATTGCTGTTAGATATATTGAGTAAGAATGGCCTAGATATGGTGACTATCTAGATTGTAGCTTTTCTGTTTTCACATTCACAGAGGTTTAAGTGTGCTTGTGTTATGGCATCTCTGTTTTGCTTTCTCTTTCTCTTACACTTAGAAGTAATTCAAAGGGAATAAAAGATGACTATATTGTTCCTGAGACACTGGCTGCATCCTAGTTAAATAAAACCAGATACGAGCCATTCTGTGGGTGCTGCTCTAAAGCAATGAGACCTTTCCCATATAGGGTTAGGATATTTGTGTAAAGCATGAGATGAGTCACTCGCTTGGATTTCCCATGTGATACCACATTACATGAAATCCAAAATAGTTTACTTTTATGCACAACCAACCTAAGCTCTTCAGTAAACTAATACAGTTAATGATGCATGTCCGTGCTTATGCGTCATAATTTAAAGCTGCTCTTTAAAGGCTCTGGATCAAAAACTGTAGGAAATGGTTTCTGATTTTGTTTAGATTTACTGAAAATTCAACTACATGTAACTTAAAGCCCTGCAATTCAAATACAGTCAGACTCATGAGGAAAAAAATGGATTGAAACATATGAAACAAAGTTTGAAAGAATAAATTCTAACTTGTATCTGTAAATAGTTTATTTTTAGTTGAGACTTCTTATTATAAAGAAGCATATTATTATAAGAAGTATGTAAAATATTTTGCAACTTTTTATAAATTACGGGAAATACAACTACTTTCTTGTAAATGAATTGAGAGAATATCAGAAAGCATAGTCTTAAAACCAAAGAGATTTGTATATTTAGTAAAATCTGAAATTACATACAACTTTGTACTTGGGACTGCATCATATAGTCAACTGATTAAAGACATTTAGATGTGTGCTTTGGAAATTACCCTGTATTGCATGGGAAAAGACAGAAGGAGGTTTTCAAAATGTGGTACTTGCTATTTGCTAAATGAACAAAGTTTGAGATAGGATCATTTAGTATTTTCTTCAAGTTCTTCTAATTTTTTTCTTCCCACTGTTGCTTTGTTAACTGTGTATTGTGAGCTCTGAGCTGCAAAATGCTGTAGCACAACTGAATCTAGTTGTGTGTTTAGAATTTGGTGTATTCAGCAATAGATATATCCAGTAACAGCTAGATGACTTTGCAGATTGCTCTCACGTTTTGCTTTTTGTCTTTTTTATCCTGTGTGCTAGGGATCCTTTTTCAAGCAAGCCACGGTAGCTGCAAAACCCAAATCTGACCATTCTAAACAACAGAGCTAGTGTCTTTTTAAGCAGAGTGTTTAAACTTTTTAAGTGTTCAGCATTTAAACACTGTAATCTTCAGTGTTTCATATTAATTGGCAAATATTATTTTGGGGAGAAGGCAGTAGTTGCTGGTACTTCTTGGTGAAGCTGTGTTTCTCTGAAACCTGCATCTTACATGATTCTCATGCTGGGCTTTCTGTTTCCAAATAT